TGAAAAGATATTTCATAAAAGTCAACATCTATTTTTATTTAATATTTTATTTTGAAATATTTTTAGATTTATAGTAGAGTTGCAAAGATAGTACATTCTCATCTACTTTTTCCCTAGCTTCCGTTAATCAACATATATTTTTAATTAACACGCTAATAAACTACAAAAAGATATTTCCTTATATAAGTGAAGAATATTTCTGTGAAACAAACAACAGACATCATACTGAATGGTAACATGCTTAGAAGTGTTTCCACAGGAGACAGGAATAATATAAAGTTGCCTGCTCACTAATACTTATTTCAATGAATTCCATACTATGCAATAAGGCAAGAAAAGGAAATCAAAAGCAATTAGAGAAAGTCATCTGTCTCAATACTTGTAGCATCTAGAACAGTTATCTGAATCGAAAATGTCTTAACATTGATTCAATCAGTGAAATGCAACAGTACAAAATAAATCTCTACTAGAACCATAAAGGAAAAGTAGTTGCTATTTAAAGCTACTGACTACAGTGACTTTGGACCCTATGTGATAAAATTTCTGTTTGGAGGACCAGCCTGAGAAGTGAGGATATGTGAGGAGAGATCTTAGGGAAAATGGGTCTGGTCTAAGGATAGGTGAAGAGTTGAGTAGGGTGCTTGCTTCGGCAGCACATATTCTAAAATTGGAACAACACAGAGAAGAGTAGCATGGCCCCTGCGCAAGGATAACATGCAAGTTCATGAAGCATTTCATATTTTTCTTATCAATGGCAAAAAAAAAATAAAGTCGGAAAAATGGCTAGTGAGAAATTACTCATAGTGGGCACAGCCAAGGAGCTGAGAGTTAGAGCTTTGATCAGGGGCAGGGATGCAGAATAAGAAGGGGCAATGCTGTGGTAAATGATTTATTTGTTAAAAAAAGTTTTATTTTCTAACTTTGTTGATGAATAAAAGGCAGTTTTTATATTATTATGGCTCTTTTAATTATAGTTATTTTCTGTAGACTTTTTTTCTGTACTTTAGACATGCATAATCCTTGTGATTCTTAGACTTTTAATTTATTTTTCTTTTACAGTAATCCTAGACTGTACCGGTACTTCTATATAGTTATTGAGTAGAAGTAATAATAATTGTGGGCATTCTTATCTTATTAATGACTTTATTTTATTTAGTTTTATGAGACAGAGTCTCACTATGTTGCCCTGGATAGAGTGCGTGGTGTCACAGCTCACAGCAACCTCAAACTCTTGGGTTTAAGTGATTCTCTTGCCTTACCCTCCCAAGTAGCTGGGACTACAGGCACCTGCCATAACACTTGGCTACTTTTTTTGTTACTGTTGTCATTGTTGTTTAGCAGGCCCAGGCTGGGCTTGAACCTGCCAGCCTCAGTGTATGTGGCCGGCACCGAGCTACAAGTGCCGAGCCTTATTAATGACTTTCTTATGAAATCTTTAACATTTTCAGCTTTCACTGTTAGGGTTGCTCTGTGTGCATTTTAGATATTGCTTACCAGTTAGGCAGTTTTCTACTGTTTCTGTTTTGCTAAGAGTTTTTTTTTATTTTTCCTTCCCAGAACAGGACATTAAACTTTGACTTATTCTTCTTTTGCATCTACTTAGATGACTATATACTAATTCTTCCTTCTTTTTAAAATTTCATCTTAAAATCTGTCCTTTCCAATATTCATAACCAGAGGTCTGGTATATGTTTCTTTCATAACCTTGTATTTTAGGGATATATTTAGATTTTTTAAAAACATGTATTTAATCTGTAATATCTATTGTTTAACTGGCAAGTTTAATTCATTTGTATATTTTGTGATGTTTGATACAATTAGACATGTTTGTACCATTGTAACCGCTGATTTTTATCTGTCCCACTTTTCCTTTTTCTTTTGTTTCCTTATCTTTTTAGGGGAATAGATTGGATTTTTTGTTTCTTTCTTTATAGTCTATATTTTCCTTCCTTTTGGAATTTACACACTGTATTTTCTAGTCATTTTCCTTGACCTTTGACCGTGACGTTAAGTTTGAAAAGGTTTAAAATCAATTATCTTAAACCCTCTCCCAAGCCTTGTTGAATGTTTTGATTTCAAATCCTTTCCTACTTCACCTGCTGTTATTATGTCCTTTAAAAAAATCCACAAATTCATCATCTGTATTATTTTATGAAGATAGTATTGTTTGGATTTGCCTCTCTGTTTGCCATTTTATTATTCATCATTTTCTTTTGTGTATATCTTTCTGGGATTTTTTTTTTATCCTAAAGAACTTTAAAAGCTCCTTAAATATAGGTCTCTTGGTGGTAAATTTTGGTTTCAAAAAAAGTCTATATATACATATATGTATGTACTTTATTCTTTTCCTTAAAGAACTTAGCTGGGCACACAATTTTAAATTGACAACCATTTTCTCTCCACATTTTGAAGATGGTATGCTGCTCCTCTCTGGCCACTGTTGTTTCTCTGGAGAAATCTGCTGTCACTTTGATCGTCATTCTTTGTAAAGGATCTGAACATTTGTGGGCTGCTTTCTTTCTTTTTTTTTTTTTATTAAATCATAGCTATGTACCTTAATGCAATCATGGGGTACAGTGTGCTGGTTTTATATACAATTTGAAATATTTTCACCAAACTGGTTGACATAGCTTTCATGGCATTTTCTTAGTTATTGTGTTAAGACATTTATATTCTACATTTAGAAAGATTCACATGTACCCTTGTAAGATGGACCATAGGTGTAGTCCCACCAATCACCCTCCCTCCACCCATCTTCTCCCCTCTCCTCCCCTCCCTCTCTTCCTTCGAGGCCAGGTTTGAACCTGCCACCCTCCATATATGGGGCTGGAACCCTACCCATTGAGCCATAGGCGCCACCCTCGTGGGCTGCTTTCAAGATCTTCCCTTTTGAGGTTTCCAGTTTCCCTGTGATGAGTGTAGATATGAATTTCTTTTTGTTTTTCATGCTTGGTAAGACTGGAATCTATTTGGGAAAATTCAGTTATTATTTCTTTCAGTATTGCCCTTCCTTCATTTTCTCTGTTCTGTTGTCTAGTACTCTGCTGAGATCTGTGTTTGATTTCCTAATCTGATGTTTCTTACATATTTTCATATCTTTTCTGTCATTGCTGTACTTTGAGCAGTTTCTTGGAATATGCCTTTTATTTTGCTAGTTCTTTTTTCTGCGGTTTGGAATTAGTTGGTTCACTTATCCAGAGAGTTGTTTATAAACTTAAGATTATTTTTAATTGACAAATCATGATCATGTACATTTATGGGGTGCAATGTGATGTTATCTGCATACAATATGGAATGATTAAATTGAGCTAATTAACATATCCATCACCTCATTTACCTAGCCCTTTCTGTGGTGAGACATTCAGAATTCAGTCTTAGCTATTTTGAAATATATGATGCATTATTAACTACCTGCTGTGCAGTAGCGTTCAAGAACTTACTCCTCCTGTCCAGCTGACATGTTATACCAAATCGACCTCTGTAACCACCAATCCAGTCTCTGTTTCTATAAGCCTAACTTTTTTAGATTCCACTTGTAAGAGAGCTCCTCTGGGAGTCTTTAATTAAAACATTGTAGCTTTCATTGCTAGAGGTTGCATTTTGTTTTTAAATCTGCCCGTTCCTTCCTGTTGGTCTCATTATTTGCGCATCTTTGTGATTACAGTCTTTATTTCATTAAGTAGTTCATAACCTGCTGTTCTGTATTTTATGTCCGACAGTTTCTATACCTGCCGTTCTTAGAGGCCTGGGTGCATTGTCGGTTGTTTCTGTTAAGCTTCACTCAGAGACATTGGCCATCTCTTGTGTCTGGAAATTCTTAGTGGTGAGCTTGTTGCTTGAACTCATTCTGTAGGAGGTCTCAGGACATACATTAGGGACACTTCCTCTGGAGAGGATTTACTTTTGCTTTTTATAGTAGCCGGGGGATTGCACTAATCTGAGACTACTTCTGGCCCCCCTTTCTGGTCTTGGCTTACAGGGAATCCCAGGTTTGGCTTTTCCCAAGCCTGAGTGTCCCATTATCATGCAGCTATCAACTTTCTTTTATTTATTTATTTACTTTTTATTAAGTCACATATACATTCAATGTGTTGATTATTTGTACAAATTGGAGTGCTTACATCCTACTAATTAGCATTGCTTTTACCTCATTTACTTAATAACAGTGTTAAGACATTTTCTGTTCAATACTTGATAGATTTGACTTGTACCCTTGCAATATGCTCCATACATGTGGTCCCACCATTAACCCGCCCTCTATTGAACCACCCCCGTGCTCTCCAGGCAGCCAATCCTGCTGCCCCCTCCTGCCCCCTGCCCAGGCACCACATGGGCACATGTGCATGAGGGATTCTTTGGAAACTTCTGTGATTTCTTGTGTACTAGCAGGGGTGTTCAACCTTTTTTTTTTCTTCTGTGACACACTGAAGAATAAGAGTTATCTTGGGCCATATAGTAAATACACAAATGAAAGCTGATGAGCAAAGAAAAAAAAGGGTCCTTGCATCCTTTTTGTGATACCAGACACCACAGATGAACAAAAAAAGTTCTCACAAAATCAGCATGCTGGCTGGAGGTTGGACACCTCTAACACAGTCTAGTTGTAGCAGGAAGATTCCTGAACTCTGCATTATCCGTAACGTTAGAAGAGAAAGAATCTGAGACTATCTTTTTTTTTTTTAAACTTCCACATTTACTGATAATTCATCTGAATACCAAACTAAAAATTCCAAGATTCTTCCTTTACATTTTGAAGATACCATTCCTTTGTTTTTTATACCTCCAGTGTTGATATTCAAAACTCTGATGTTGGTCTGATTTGTTTTTTTCTTTATAGATTTTTCTGCCATTTCTCTCCGGGAGCTTTTTTCTTTTTCTTTGATTTTAGATTTTACTACAGTGGATCTAAGGTGTGGCTCTTTCTTGTCCAACCTAATTGGCACTGTGTGAAATTTTTTTGATTTGAAACGTTAGATCTTTCTTTAATTGTGGCAAACTCCCGGTTCTTACTTCCTTAAATATATCCTCTTCTCTTTCTATCCTTTTCTGATTCTCTGGAACTGCTGTGAGAGAGATGTTGGCACTTCTATATGATCACACTTTTTCCCGGTTAAAGATTCAGTCCTGATGCCTCCTGAGAGAGTGCCTTGATTAAATTTCCAGCTCACCAATTCATTCTGCCCCCACACTCGGCTCTGCCAGTCCTGTAAGTGGCCTGACAAAAGTTTTATTTTTCAAACCCAGAATTTTCAATCAGTGGTTCTAACTGCTCCTTTTTACTCCACATTTCCCGTGGCCTCCCTCCCGTAGTTCACTGAGGCTAAGGTATTTGTTACCATTAAGGTTTTGTCCTGTTTTCTATTAGGTTTGCTTCTGCTGGTGTAAATCACTCTGTTCTTTTTTCTTGCATTGTTTTCTCCCTTTCATAGTGCAGACTTTTCTCTCTGATATCTAGTTGTCTTTTGCCTTTGGCACATGCCTTCTATAACATTGGGAGGTGAGGCTGCCTTGCCCGAGTTTTCCACCTGAGAGGCCAGAGACAGAAGCTCAGGCACTCTCCTGTCCTTCCCAGATGAGATACTCTAGGGAGGGGGAGATGCCCTCTGGGTTAAAGAACAGTCTGGGACTCTTCACTGCCTGTCCTTCTCCCCTTCCTCCTATGGACTGGCCCTGGTCTTTGTTAATGCTGCCTGCTGTGGTCTTGGGCGTGGGGCTGTGCAGGAAGAGGCGTGGTAGGCGCTGAC